CTGCAAATGGGGGTCATGGTTGGGCTCTCATTGTCTTCTGCTTAGGGTCCAGGGATGTGGGAGGACTTCTGAAGTTCTTGCTCTACCCTCCCTTTTTAGCAATTCCCGCAGGCCTGAGGCCCAGAGGGGTCTCACTATACCTTTCTCCATCAGTGAGTTGCTGCTGCTTTTTCCTTGGTGCTAGTTTTGTGGTGGGGGTAGGGAGGGTTCTTGTTCTCGTGGTTCAACCACAGGCTAAGGGAAGACTTCTTCATCCGGGCCTTGTGGGTGAGGCCTTTTCAGGATTTCTTCCTTTTCCCCTTCCCATAGCAGACAAACTCTTTTTTAAAATCTGTGCAAGTCTTGGTCAAGAGATAGTTTCCCGGCCCTCTATACCTGGTAACATATGTCTGCTTTGTACTGGTACATGATTCTTGGCCCAAGAGGTTTTCTTGTTCCTCCATCAGCATTCCTGATTGTAAGAGGGTTTTTCTGTCCTTCCACAGTAGCTTAAGGCTTTTATTTCATATAGGAGAAGGATCTAGGGAAGTGGGAAGTGTTTTCTGCCTGTCATGCAGGGGCATCATCACTTCCCGCACATCTACACCACTGTAGGTCAGGGCTCTCCGGTCTCTTGCCTTGCACCAATATCTCTGTGAGCACCTGGTACAGGCTCCTGAAGAAAAGTTTGTGAGTTGAGGCAAACTCCCCTTGTGTGTCTGGGGCTCTCAGTTCATCCAAACTTAAATCTTAGCTCACTCTTGCCCTTTAAGAAGCATTTACAATTTTAGCTGATTTTTTTCTTACATGCTTCTGTGATAGCTATTTATTCTTCCTGTGCTCTGCCAAAGTTGAAAAGTTTGTGTCAGCTGTCCCCAAGCCAAGATGTCTGCTGCTCTTCAATATCCAGTTTTCTTCATTGTCTGTTACCTCAGCACTCAGCTGGCTTTAATAAAAGTTATAATTTTCTAGATTATCTGGCTTTTTCTTATCATTATGGTAGGAGCGACATTCTTTTTCAGCTCTTGGCTTTCCTAAGTGGAAATAGGACTTATCTGCTAGGATTTTGATTGGAATTAAAAACTACAGATTAATTTTAGAAGAACTTTATCTATACAATATGAGCCTTTCAATTAACAATGATTTAGTGTAAGAAAATTTTAGTGATTAATTTATAGTCATTGTTATTAGAATTCTATTAATATAATGCTATAAATATGCATATTGACTAATGTGGACAATTACCCTTACTGAAGTCAAAGTCTAGATCTCCTCTTCGGTGATGAGGTGGCAGAGGTAGGCACAAATGTGGAGAGAAGATAGAAGATAGATACTCTTTCTTCTCATTTCACCAGGCATCATAACACCTACTCAAAGACAAACAGCTACTAATGAATGGCAGATACAAGACTATAACACTGGACTTATTGGCCAGGGTTCTTTCCACTACACATTACACATACTAATATACTTTGAATAGATCTCTTGGATTTTTTGTCTTTTATAATAAGAAATATAATTGCACAACTTTTTCAGAATGTTACACATGTCAATAAAGTCATGACTTTTCAAATTTCTAATCTCTCTTCCTATAGCTAAAAATTTGAGCCTTGGATATTTTATGCTGAATTCTTTGACAAAAAAAAGAAGTCTTCTATAGAGTTTGCTCATATTCATCTTTATTAGTGATCTCACATGAGCCTATCATTTATGTCACTTTGCTTCTTATATGAATTATAGGTAGTTCTTGGGATCTCACCCCTTGAAAAATTGTCATTTCTTGTATCATAATTTTAGCAAAATACTTTTAAAATTAAATAATCTGGCAGATAGGCCTTGCCATCCTGTACTTGAATTTGAGGTCACTGAAATTAAAAAACTAAGACTAGATTTTAAGTTAATTAGGTGGTTATGTTATCACTCAAGTGAATGTGACTAGTGTCATGCAAGAACCTCAATAGCTTGAGCTAGAAATAAGGATCCAGATGTGAGGAAAAGGAAACACAAAAACTAGTAATGGGGCAAATTTTCTTACAGAAGGACAAATCCGTGGGGGGGGGGGGGGGTTGGAGGAGCAACTGATGCCCTTTGCACTTTGGGTAGCAAGAGTCTGAGGTGGGGGGGAGTTGTGGTAATAGCTCTGAATGAAGTAAAGTAACTGTTGCCTGAACATTTACCCAGAGTTACCACTTTCTTTTCCACTTTTTATTTATATTTGTGGACTTCTGATGAACTATTTCCCGAAGGAAAGGAAGAGTTGACCCAAACATGATAGTAAGTGATTTTAGTAATTTGCCCACAAAACCTCAATGACTTATGGCATAAAATTTCAATCAGGCTGTCTAACTCTAGAGCAGGGTTTAGCAAAATATGGCCTATAGACCAAAAGTGACCTACCACTTGTTTTTGTAACTAAAGTTATATTGGGATACAACTATGTCCATCTCATCATCCTTGGACATCCATAGAGATACTTTAAACTAAAAAATTTAATCTTATAGTTATTTGCTGGTTAAAACCTTACAAAGGCTTCCTATGGCTACAAAATCCTTTATATGACATACTGTTACAACCCAGCTGGACTCCTTGCCTACTGCTCAGGAGAAAGCCAATATACGGAGACAGCAAGGGTTGCAGTAGAAAAAGAGTTTAATAACACAAGGTGCCAAGTGAAGAGACAGAAGGAAATTTTCAAATCCATCTGCCTGAGAATTGGGGGTCTAAAGTTTTTAAAGGTAGTTTGGTGGACAAAGGGCTAAGGAATTGGGTCTGCTGATTGACTATAGATGAACTCATAGACTTGGAAAGCAGAAATTATCTTCTTGCACAGAAAGTTACTGAGTAGAGGGTCACAGGACCTGTTGAGTCAGTTCTTACACATGGCCACTTGTCTGGTTGGTGTCAGTTGGTACCCATGAATGCAAAGTCTGGAAGATATCTCAAAGACCAGTCTTTGGTTTTACAATAGTGATGCCATCTATAGAAGCAACTGGGGAAGTCACAAATTTGTCATTTCTTTGGGAAATACCCAGACACTCAAGTTCCACATGCTCCCATAAAACTCAGAAGATCTATCACCAATAGTGATCATGCTACCATTTATTGTTTGTGGTATACATCAGGTAAACTACAGCCTGTAGACCAAATCCAGACTACTATGTACAGTTCATGAGCTGAGAATAGTTTTTACATTTTTATGTAATTGAAAAATTTGAAAGAAAAGAAATATTTTATAATGTAAAAAATCTGATATTCAAATTTCATTGTCCATAAATACGATTTTATTGTAGCTAAGCCACACCCATTTGTTTATGTATTGTCACACACTAGGGAAGGTATTGTAGATGCAATGATGAAACAGAAAGTACTATCTCAGTCCTCACAGACCCACGATATCTTCCCCAAGGTGCGGTTCACAGGAAGCACTCAATGAGTATTTGTGGCAGGAATAATGTGTGAATAAGAACATGAAACTCTTTTTCCCAAGAATCAGTTGCAATTCAGCACTGAATCCAGACAGATTTACCAGTTTCTAGCCAAGTATTCCTTGCTACTCAATCAGTCCTACTTGCCTATGATTGTAGAACAATATTATTCTTAGCATAATCATGAAATAAAAATTCCCTCCAATTTCCACCTAGTCTTGGATGTCGCCTAGACTGCAGGTTTGAATATGATGAAATGTTCAAGAGAAAACTTCCCCTGTTATGCCCACAAGGAGTAAATAATGATAGAGGAGTACTTCTGCTCAAAGCTCTGCTTTAAAACAGCATTTTGAAAAGTTCAGGCACACCTCAAAAGCAAAGCTTATGGAGAAAGTATATAAAAGCAAGCAACGTGATTAACCATATCCAGATGGGAGAAAAATGTGTTGACATTTCAGCAAGAACAGCCTTCAATTCGAGCCAAAAAAATCCCCATTTAAACTTTCTAGTCAGCCAAAATTTCCAGCTGCATGGATTCTCTTGTGAACAAACAGGCCAACACACAGAATAAGGTCACTGAAGAATGTGCCAGTAATCACAAACTGTAATTAAGCGGTAATGACCCCAACCTGAAGCTTTCTTCAGGATTAATGAATACCTGAAAAACCAGTGGCCTGAGGCAGCCCTCATTCTAGCATGAATGCCCTGGGATAAAGTGAGTGCTATAAACAAAATGTGTTTTCAGCTTAAATCATCCCCTGAAGTTATCTTTTCCACAGCTATATCAGAGTTGGATTTTTATGGCATTCATTGTGAAAAAGGCCAACTTTAATCAAGAAAAGAGAGAAGAAAAATTGAAATTCAAAAACACAGTAGGGGATTTCTTTAGGGCGGGGCTGTGGCAGTGGGTGTGAATTACATATTTAGAATAAAGTGAAGTGAAATTATAATTATTAGTAGTAAAATGTGATGTAAAAAAAAATGGTGTCTCCTGGTTCAGAGCTGTACAACAGAGTTGGGAAGCCATTCCAAGAAGAACTGCTGCATAACCTGCAACCCTGCAAAAAGAAAAGAAAGAAAGAAACTTGCCTTGAACCTTTGAACTAGGTCAAAACACAACATCCTGGAAAACAGCTGAATTTTGCCAGCACTACAACTTTTCAGCAGCAACCAATGAACTATGGACTCATGTACTAAGCCAGCCACCCCTGCCAATGATAATTCCTTCAAAACAATTTGTACACACCTTTAACTTCCTTTTAAACCTTCCTTTTAACCTTTAACTATCACCTTTAACTTTCTTAAAATCCCTAATCCCCACTCTTCTCTCTTTGGAACACAATTGGGCTTCATATCTGCATCTTCCGAATTACCATTCCTAAAATCCCAGTAAATACCATATCGTACTGCATTGCAGTCTGGTTTTTCGCCTCTTCTTAGTTGACATTATCTATAACTAAAATAATCATCATTATTATGGCTTTTAATGCCTTGGGTTAACTGAGGAGAAGAGAATAAACAAGGAGACTATCTGATTAGTAAGTGAGGTGACCATAAAAATGTTAGCCCTCATTTATTTGTGGTTTAATCTCTACCGTAGGCACTTAATGATATTGTGTCTCTTCTGTTACAGACTGAACATCATCTCCTTTGTACAGGCAAGGAATCTGAGAATAAAAAAGGTTAAGTAACTTGACTCAGGTCATCTTAATCAGTGTAGGGGTTCCTATGACTTGCAGTCCCAAATTCAAAATCACTATGCACTATGACCTTGCTGATAGGAAGGTTCTCTGTCAATCATTTACAAGTGATGAGATAGATTTGTCATGGTAAAAATTTCAATAGACAGATGGAGGTATGATAGAAAATTAAAGTCATTAGCTTTTAAAGGCTACCTTTATATGTATCACAAGTCATGGCTTTAACATAGGACTCTGCTCTTCCTGCCATTCAGCAGGACTTGGTAGTGTTTCCTCTTCTTGAAATGAATATAGGAGCCCTGAGACAACCATAGGTTCCCCAAAATACCCTACACTCACACTAGCCCAATGTAAGTCCATCATGTCTGAAATTTCTTTAATAAAAGACTAAGGGGCCTATTTTTATTTTACTTTATTTAATTTGAGACAGAACTTCATTCTGTCCCCTGTGGCTGAGGGCCATGGCATCAGTCTAGCTCACAGCAACCTCATACTCCAAGTGATCCTCCTGCCTCAGCCTCCCGAGTAGCTGGGACTACAGGCACGTACAATCGACTGGCTAATTTTTCTATTTTTAGTAGAGACAGGGTCTCACTCTTGTTCAGGCTGATCTCAAACACCTGAGCTCAGGCAAACCACACACCTTGGCCTCCTAGAGTGCTAGGATTATAGGCATGAGCCACCATGCCCAACCTAGAGGCTTATTTTTAAAATGAGAGGCTTAAAAATGTAAGCATGCCTGAAGGAGCTACCCATCAAATTCACCCTGAGACGAGGGGGAAACTGCCACCAGTACCTTTCTCAAAGGGAATAGCAATAGGTTAAATTACAGATTGAGGAATTAAGTAATGGATTGTAAAAATATTTTATGTCAATACCAAAATAAGGGAGGGAAGCTGTAGAAGAAGGGACTATTTATTTGTCAGCTACAGACAAAAATGGGAAAGATGAAAGTAACCAGATATCTATTAATACTTCTCTATTCTCATCTCCTCTCTCTCAAGGTGGGTGGCCAGGTATTTTTCCTTGCTTAGGATGGATGGGACTAATGATAGAGGGGACATGAAAGACATTTTGGTCAACTGAGCCTTTATTGTCAGGTATGCCTTGTTCTTACAGGGGAAGCAGCAGGGTATATTTGGGTTTCAGAGCCCCTCTGAAGAAACAAATGTGAGGTCTCCATTCCATGTCCCCAACACAACTCTGTCCTCACCCAAAGTTTCTCCCACCTGTCCCTCAGTGGGAGAAGCACATCTGATCTTAGTGGTCCATTTCTCCTGGGGTTGTTATATCCCTATGAGCCCAACTGCTGTAGCTTACTTAGGAAGATATCCCATGGCAATACCCAAGCAAATAAAGCATTCTTCTAACCAGGTCTCAGATACTACAGTAAAATTATGTTTGAACTGTGGTAAGTTTTAAGCCAAAACACACTTAAATTCTAAACTAGACATTGTATGGCCTCTACCACCCTTTTCTAAGGAGAGAAAAATTATAAGAATATTTGGGAGGAAAATTGCAATACAGCTGAGCTTTCTTTACCTTTCCTCATTTTCAAGGCCAGATAATCACAAACACAACCAGAAAAATCATTTGTCCATGAGCTACAAATTTGGAGAGTAAAGTATAGGGAACAGTGACTGACTGAAGAGTGAAGAAGCTGTAGGCATGGGTGACTAACTTTAACTACTTTGTAATAAATAGGAAGTCTTGCAAACTTTTTCAAAGCAGAAAATTATCTTACCTCTCAAACACATGGCCAAGATTGTAGGACAGAAGAGTGACGTAACTTCTTCTGAATGAGTTAAGCCTGTTTTGTGAAACTGATGCTGCTGTAACAATAAGGAGAGAGAGATTTTAAATAAAGAAGGACTGAATTTTGTGTATTTGGTAAACTGTGAACCATGTACAATCTAAAGTCTAGTCCCATCCTAGTCCTGGTCCAGATCCATATCACCCGCAGCACCTGGGCTACCCTGGCACAAGATGAGTGCTGAGGGAGGGAGTAAAAAGGAGATAAGAAAATTGATTCTCACATCTGGTTGCAGAATACAGAGGAAAAGAAACATGATGCTTCTACATTAGCATATCCATCTCAGCTGACTCTACTAATGTCATTCCCTAAGAGGCATTTACCTAGACCCACATCTAGGCAGCTGTTAACCCTAAAAATGGTAAAGGACTCCAGGTAGAAATTGATCAACTGTCTTTCCCAGGGGAGTCCGTGAATAATAACTATGTCAGCTTTATGTTTGCTGACAATTATTATATTCCATTTAACTTTCTTTTCTAAGTTATTTCTAATTTGATGATTCTTAAACAGAGGTTTGCAATTGAACCATCTGTAAAATCTTTTTTAAAATACATATACTCTGGGTCACAATTGGAAAGATGTGGAAACAACCAAAGTGCCCATCAATACATGAGTGGATTAATAAAATGTGGCATATGTATACCATGGAGTACTATTCAGCTATAAGAAACAGTGGTGATATAGCACTTCTTGTATTTTCCTGGATAGAACTGGAACCCATGCTACTAAGTGAAGTATCCCAAGAATGGAAAAATAAGCACCACATGTACTCATCAGCAAACTGGTATTAATTGATCAATACCTAAGTGGACATATAGGAATAACATCTATCGGGTGTGTGCAGGTCGGGGGGAAGGGGATGGGTATATACATACACAATTAGTGCAATGCGCACCATCTGGGGGATGGACATGCTTGAAGCTCTGACTTAAGGGGGGGGAGGGAAAGGTCAATATATTTAACATTAACATTTGTACCCCCATAATATGCCGAAAAATAAATTAAAAAGAATACATATACTCTAATCATTCTAGATCTAAAATGTATGAATCTTTAGGATGGGTGGGTATCCATATGTGTATTGAAAACAAACTGATTTCAATGATTATGACACATACACTGACTTAAGAAACAGTCTCTCAATTTCCTTAGTCCTTCCTCAAACAATAAAAATCTAAAATCACCTTTTTGCTCAGCTCTTGCTGTTTGAATATATTGGTTTTTAATCATGTTTTTACAATAATGGGATCTGATAAAGAACATAAAACTCCATACATCCATAGGAAAACAGACTACCACTTCCCTTATTCATTAAGACAGCCTAAGATAGTATTTGCTTCTCCTTTCAGCATTAGCAAAACCATTCCAGGATTTTTGTATCTCTCTTTCAATTATTTGTGTGCCATTTTAAGTGATAAGACACTCCCAGAGGTACACTGCGTGATTTCTGCAGTGACCTTCAAAACTTACTGCTGAAAACCCAGCTAACTGGTGCAGCTTCCTATCTACTTCTTTTCTTTTAGACATCCTCATAGCTTCCGGTCTGCCAAGAGTTTTTGTTTTTTTTTTTTTCCAAATCTGGCTGTATAATTTATGGCTTATCCTTATACCTTTTTAATGTATTAGATAAAAAGGAGAAAGTTACAGCATTATTCCAGCCTGCTGAGATCAATTGGGACTAAAATCCCAGGGTATTCACAGTATATTCCAGAGCCATGCTTCTTGTACATTGATCAGCCTCTCATAATTATCTTCATCCACAATCTTGATTAAAATATTGAGAGCATAGTATCAACACTATCTAAGATCAGCTAAATCACCACCTTAACATTTTGCCGCACTCCAAAGTGAGAGCTCAATAAAAGAACTTGCAAGGGAAAATAGACATCAAGAACTTGGTTATTCCGTAGGTCAAAATCACTTTACCCTCCATGATACAACCTCCAGATATGTGCTATTTTCTCCTTTGTAAAAAAGTTATGCAATAAAGATTCTACAGCTCTTGGAGAAAATAGATTATGGGATTTACTATCATGAAATAGTTTGTATCATAGCCTTCCTGAAACTACAGGTGAGTAATTTATTATTCAATTAAAATTCAAATTATGCCATAGACATTAACATACATCCATCTGTTCAATTAATGGATATTTTTAGAATACTGTGTACCAGACAGGCACTATGCTAGCCATGGAATATAGAGTAATGATAAAAAAAATTAAAAAAAATAAACCTGTTCCCTTACCTCAGAGAGCTAATAGTCCAATAGACAAAGTCTGACATCAAAGAATGACAAAAATATTACCATTATCTAGACTAATGAGAAGTCCTTCTTCCACATCATACTTCACTATTATGATATCATATACTGAGAAATATCTAATGAACACTTTTGAATTTCAAAATCTTTGTGGATACTCACATTTGAAAGGAATTCAGAGAAACTGGGATTGTCTTAAGAGCTCACATCCTGGATGCTGATGAGACTCGAAACCATGCTGTATAAAGAACAGTTAAAGGAATGAAAATGATTAGTCTAAGAAAGAGGGATGAACGTTTTAGTAATCACCATGCCTCTGAAGGTTGGAGTGTGGCAAAGGGAGATGATCTTGTTGGTAGGGTCTTAGGGAGTTGAATAGAGAACAATGAGTAAGGGAGCAAGAGAAAAGAAGATTCCATCTCCAAAAAAGAATCTTTTCATATTAAGACTGTATAATATTAAGACTGAATGGGGTGCTCAAGTAATGATGAAATTTTCATCACTGGATTTGTCTCATCATATATTGTCTCATCTCTTAGCAAGGATATCATAAAAGGCTTTTTACTAAGAAATGGGCAGTTGGAGTAGAAGGTAAAGACCATCCCAGCCCGGGGATTCTATAAATCATGCCTTACATATATTAAAGTATTTGGTATATAGAGAATACAAAAACCTGAACTTTCCTTTTTAAACATATTTACTATCCCTTAAATAATAATGCCATTTTTTACTTTCAATTGGCTGCCCAAACTTATGTTGTTAATTTATACTATGGGGACACATTTTAAATTATGAATTAAGCAATGATATAATAACTGACTTTTTAACACAAAATTATGTGACTATTTTAAGCAAAATTATGTGACTATTTTAAATTTCAAAAGTTCTTTTGAAACTTGTATCAGACCCACATAAGTAAGCCCTGCCCTCTTCCTTTGAGAAACTACACAAAACTTCCAACACTCAAATAATTTCTGAAACTCCTATTTTGGAATCGTCTTTGAGGGCTTGTAGCAAATTCTTTTGAATAACTTCAGAAGTAGTACATTATAATCCTCTCAGGTTCATGTTTTGAAATAGACAAATGTCACTCAAAACAACTTCTGAAAAGTAAGATTAGTAGATAAAATTAATAAATTATAACCTATTATCCTTGACTTAAATTTTATTTCTTCTTTGAAATTTCTGTGAAGAGTTCCAAGTATTTCTCCTTCTTAAGCTATATTTTTTCCCCTCCAAGGACAATTTTCCTTGTCTTTTTATGCAATATAATTCAAATTTTTTGTTAATATGCCATTTTGGTGGTTACTTAACCCTTTTTCATGAAGAGAATGTATCTAAGTCACCTCAGTGCCTTTAAAAGCCATTAAAGATTCACCGCATCTCAGTAGATCTTGGGATTCTGTTTTGAAAAAGCTACTTCCAATCATTGTGATGCTTGGCCAAGTGAGGGACTCTGCACTGTCATGTTATTCTAACTCATACTTCTCTTCTCATCTCAGCATCCTAATGGCAACAGATTCATACAGAGAAAAAGCATGAATTTCAAATCCTGAATATATAGATTTAAATCCAAGACCTCCTGTTAACTAGATGATCTTTGGCAAGTGACAATCTCTTTGAGGCTCTTCTCAACAGATTAATATTCCATCTGAAGGGCTACTGCAAGAGTTAAATTAGACCATATATGTAAAGCATATAGCATAGTCATTGGCACATAGGAGTTTAATAAAAGGGAGCAATCATTTGTCAATTTCTCATTGCTGTCCAGCTCTGCACATGTTTACCACCTTTTCTCTAATAATGCATTACATTATAGCTGATTTGAGGACACCACAAGTATCGATGGAGAATTTCAAGCTCTTCTTATTTTCAACAATATTGGCTTATGTCTAAATGAACCCGGTCCCTTGAAAAGGGTCAGAAATTGTCAAGAAAGATGAGAATATTTTTGCTTAGATAGGACAAAAATAGAATTGGAATTGGAATATTGGAAGACAAATACTGTACTTTGTAGAAAAAATAAAGAAAGGAAATTCAAGGATTGAAAGAATACATAATTTCACAATCTAGTTTTAATCTTGTTCTTTCTGAATATTATCTTTGAGTTCTATAGGTATCCATCTTTATAAGGAAGGGTATAAGTAATGTGTGCCGTGAATATGAGACTTCCCTTCTTTTAATCCTAGAGGGAATAAATTTTTCTAAAGGAAGCTTACCTCCTAAGTTTCTGCTTCTCTTCAAGTAAGTACTGAGTAGGTCAGGGTGTCTAATATAGGCTTAACTTTAGAAACTTCAGCTAACTCAAAACAGATTTTTTTGGCCACTCCTGTCCTCAGTCTGAATGTAGAACAAACCAGAATACACACAAGTGGTCATCATTCTTGCCATAGCTCTCTCGCTGGACATCTGCAATCCTGTTTCTTATGGGGTTGCTTTTAACAGGGCTCCTAGTGAACACCCAGCCTGGAACATAGCAAATGTTCAATAAATATGTATTGAGTCTATGAGTGAATGAATGCGTGTTATGAGAGCATACAGAATAGGTATTTAGCATACATTGAAAAAGGGAAAGTAAAGCCTTTGAGGAGAGATTAAATTGGAGTTGAATCTTGTGTGATAAATGGCAGTTTGTTGGTGATGGATATGGAATGTTGTGGAAAAGTAGCCAAGCAAAGAAAACTATATGAGTTAAGACACAAAGAAGAGAAAGGATATCTTTTATGTGAGGACCCGCAAGCAGTTTTTCAAAGCACTAGTCTAATAAGATAAGCCTGAAGAAGTAGCCAGAATCTAGGTCATAAAAATTTTTGGTATCACATTAAGAAGTTTAAACTTGAGACCTTGTAAGTGATGCATGGTCACTTGATATAAGAGAAAAATTTTAAGAAATGAGATAGATCAAATAGGTTAAATATATATTTGGGTTTTTTATGGACTACTATAATAGATGTGTGTAGGATGGATTTGAGGAGGGCAGGGCGTGGGACTTGAGTCCAGAAGACCAAACTGCTGGGTGCTCACTATCTGCTTTTTGAAACAATGATGATAAAAATGAGGATGGTGGTTATATTAACAATTACAAGGATAACTATGATGATGATGATTGTATACCTAACATCTAGCAAAGGTTTTCTATGCATGAAGTCTGGTGCTAAGCACTCTACTGATTCATTTAATTATCACAGCAGACCTATGAGGAAGGGACTTATATTATTTACTTTTACATATAAGAAAATTCGGGCATAAAGAGATTTTTAAAAATGTGTCTCATCACTGCTGTGGCATTCTTCCCCAAAACATATAACCCTAGTCTAAAAAGAGAAACCATCATATAAACCCAGTAGAGGGTAATTCAATGAAATACCTGACCAGTAAAAAGTGTCAAATTCATAACAAATAAGGAAAGACAGAGGAACTATTTTCTTTGCTTTAATAGTTGTACTATGGTTATATAAGATGTTATCATTAGGAAAAGCTAAGTAACAGATATATTGGAACTCTACACTACCTTCGCAAATATTCTGTAAACACAAAAATATTTCAAAATAGAAAAGTTTTTAAAACTTCTATGTGCCCATAGAACATGGAAGGCAAAATACAAGATAAGCCTGAAGTATTTTGTAGTATTTTGTGGTGTAGATAAGTAAAAAGTAATGATAATAATAACAATAATATTAGTAACAGTGTAAGAGCCAATCTGAAAGAACTCCTAATGGTTTGAAACAATTTGAGCAACAAAATAAATAAAAATAATATTGGATTATAAGTAAAATAATGAAATAAAAATCTGTAAGCCTACACATATGAATATGTTATTGAATAAATAACTAAATGAGGTTTAAGAGGAAAATATTCCTTACAGATGAATTCCAAGTAATAAATATAGAAGGAATGAGAAAAAAAGAAAATCACCCTTAGAACACCACATGACAATTGCTGCAGGAAATAGCCAATGTCAAATGCTAAGAAAAAAGTGTGTGAAAACTTAAGGAGAAGAAGGATATTTTCATATCTGCAAAGTATATCCACAAAAGTATTTTTTAAACTACTGTGGTGATTTTAATACATACTTTGATTTTTTGATACGGTCCCTCCAAGAGTTGTTAGAGTGGAACATCCCTTCCCTTCAGTATGCACTGAACTTAGTTACTCACTTTTAATATACATAATATGGAAATTGAGGGGAGAGGGTATAATTTCACAGTTTAGAAACCAGTAGAAACTACCTGAATCAAGTCAATCAAATTACCTGTTATGAATCATGTTGATACATACCTCCAAAATGAAGTGATGAGAAGGATACTTCAGCTCTGTGGCATTTTTCCAAAAATCTATTATCTCAGTCTAGTTATGAGAAAACATAAGACAAACCCAAATTAATAGACATTTTACAAAATACCTGACTAGTACTCTTCAAAAGTACCAAGGTTATAGAAAATAAGGAAAAACTGAGAAACAATTACAGATTGGAAGGGACTAAAGAGACACATCAGCTGAATGCAATGTGGTATCCTGGATTGGATCTTAGAATAGAAAAATAACATTAATGAGAAACTGATAAAATATGAAGTAAGTCTGTTCTGGTTAATAGTATTGTGCCAATGCTAAGTTCTTAGTTTCAGTAAATGTGCCCTGACAATGTAAAATGCTAACATTGTAGGAAGCTGAGTGAAGGGTATATGGGAACTCTCTGTACTATCTTCATTACTGTTTTGGAAATATAAAATTTTTTCAGAAATAAAAAAAAATTAAGTACCCAGAGTCAAAAGACACTAATAAACTATTAACAGAAAATAAAAGAAAAAGACAAATGGCCACTAAAGAAGATAGGATTAATATCATTCATAATGAGAGAAATTCAAATTAAAATAACACTGAAATATCATTAGTTACCTTTCAAATTGGCAGAAATCTAAAAATTTGTAAAAGCACTTTGTTGGAAAGGTTATAGAGAAACAGAACTTCTTATACTTTGATGATAGACTATGACTCCACAAATACAAACAACACACGCATGGGGGCCCATTTGTATGAGTGAAATTCTATTTAATTCTGGTTCTTGTTTATAAGGAATATTAATAAATAATATATTGAATAAACATGGTATGATAATAGAGTCATGAAAAAAGAACAAGGAAAATTATGCATTCAGATGGAATGATTATAGCAAATATTGTTTTTAAAAAGCAAGGAATATTGATTTATTTTTACACAAAACTTAGTGTCTCTAAATTTTACGCAGTATATGAAATTTTGCATAAGAATAAAAGTGAAATAGGAATTAATCTGTTTTTCTACCTACACATACGTTTGCCTAGTTTTTTGAAAACACAGGGAAGACAAACTAGAAACTAATGAAATTTGTTACGTAGCTAGGTGTACAGAAACAGGGTGGAACAGATAGGAATGGAAACCATAATTCTTTGAGTACACTTTTCTACTTAGTTTTGATTTTAATCAAGTAAATATTTTACATATTCTAAAAATAAAACTGAAGCAAAAAAAGAACAATAACAAACCCTAACATTAATCACAATGAGAAACAAATGAATCAATATATCAAATTTATAATATGACTACACAGAAAAAAGTACTATTTCAAACAACTTTCGAGTACACTGCTCTAAATGTCCATCTTTTATAGAATATTTTCTATAGACCAAAAAATAAAAAAAAATTTAAATGGCAGAGAAATTTTAAAAATCTATAGTTACATTGTTAATAGTAATATATTGGTATTATAATTTTAAACTACTTATGGATATTATAGAATAAAACATTTATAATAAATATATTATTATAAAATAAGATTTTCATGGTAAAGAAAAGAGATACAATTATAAAATTTCAAAAAGTTATTTTAAAACTCCATATATTACATTTGAAGCAGAAATATCAATATGAACTCATAATTTTTAACGATATATTTCCTAGCTCTGTCTACTGAAGTGGCCTATAGAAACAATGTCATCCTCATAGGAAAGAAGACACCAAGCATTCAAATCTTAATTTCAAACTGCCAATCCTCTCTAAAAGGCACAATGTCTTTAAAAAAATATGACTGACTCCAAATCTTGAGCAGGTAGGTACAAGGTAAACCTGAGACATTTTATTATACCACACACACACACACAAAAAGGCTTAAATGATAAGAAGTCATTATCACCCAAAATCCACAGTTTATATTAGAGTTCGCTCTTGGTGTTGTATATTCTATAGGCTTGGACAAATTTATAATGACATGTATGCACCATTAAAGTACCATACAGAATAGTTTCACCACCCTAAAAATCCTGTGTTCTGCCTATTCATCCCACCCTTCCTCCTAACCCCTGGAAACCACTGATCTTTTTACAGCCTCTATAGTTTCGCCTTTTTCAGAATGTCATAGAGTTGGAATTATATAGTATGTAGCCTTTTTACATTGGCTTCTTTCTTTTACTTAGTAATGTGAATTTAAGCTTCCTCCATGTCTTGTCATGGCTTGGTAACTCATTTCTTTTTCGTGATTAATATTACTCTGTTATTTGAATGTACCATAGTTTATCATTCACCTACTGAAGAACATCTTGGTTGCTTCTAAGTTTTGGCAATTATGAATAAAGCTGCCATAAGCATCTCTGTGCAGGTGTTTGTGTGGACATAAGTTTTCAACTCGTTGGCATAAATACCAAGGATCACGATTGCTGGATCATTATGACAAGAGTATGTTTAGTTTTGTAAGAAATTGTCAAACTATCTTCCAAAGTGGCTGTACTAGTTTGCATTTCCACCCGCAGTGAATGAGAGCTCCTGTCACTCCACATCCTCACTGGCATTTATTTGGTGGTGTCAGTGTTCTAGATTTGGGCCATTCTAAGAGATAGGTAGTGGTATCTCATTCTGGTTTTAATTTGTATTTCCCTAATGATAAATGATGTGGAACATCTTTTCATATACTTATTTGCTATCTATGTATCTTTTTTGGTGAGGTGTCTCTTAAGGTCTTTGGCTCATTCTTTAATCGTGTTTTTTTTTTTTCCTATTGTTATGTTTAAAGAATTCTTTGTACATTTTGGATAACAGTCCTCTTATCAGCTATGTCTTTTGCGAATATTTGCTCCCAGTCTAGTGGCTTTTCTTTTAATTCTCTTGACAATTTCTTTTACAGAGTGGAAATAATTAATTTTAACAAAGTCCAAAGTATTAATTCATTCTTTCATGTATCATGCCTTTGGTATTATTTCTAAAGACTCATTGACAAACTCTAGATCATCCATATTTCCTTCTATGTTACCTTCTAGGAGCTTTATAGTTATGCATTAAACATTTATGTCTGTGATCTACTTTGAGTTAATTTTTTAAATGGTGTAAGGTCTATATCTAGAAACATTTTTTTGCATGTGGACATCCAGTTGTTCCAGCACTATTTGTTAAAAAGCCTATCTTTTCTTCATTATATTGCCTTTGTCAAAGATCAGCTGAGTTTATTTATATGTGTCTATTTCTGGACTCTCTCATTTGAAAATATTACTTTTTCATCTTATTATACATGGATATAGACATAAAAATGCCAATCATTTCAAAGCAGTGAAACTACTCATGTTTTTCTGACTGGGTAACTTCCTCTCAGAACCAACTACTTTGCTTACATGATTTTTTCCAGGCCTTTTAGCCAGAAATTGCTATACAAATGGGCTTTTAAAACAGCAACCTTATTCTATTACTTGAGTTCCTAACACAAAGAAGTGATAAATGCCTGAGGTGATGGATACCCCAATTACCCTGATTTAATTAATTCTCATTGTATGTATGCCTGTGTCAAAACATCACATGTATCCTATAAAGATATACTATTGTTATATACTCATAATAATTTTAAAAAATTTAAAAAGGAAACTAAGCCACTGTAAACAGTTATTAAAATAGCCAGCAGAGTACATTGTTATGTCTCTGGCATAACTCTATATATTTCAGAGTTGTCAACAGGCTATATTATCTTTGCACACTATAATGCTATACTGGTATGCAAGTGTATGACTTACCTTGTTTATACAGGAGAAAAAGCTAATTTCAGTACAATCCTGAGCTAAACACTTCTGGGCTAAAGCACCATTTGAATATCTAGAAAGCATATCTTCTTGCTAACACAGGTTGGAAATAAGGGGAAAGTGCCAGAGGAGGAGTCCTCCCTCCCCTCTGTTGCCATTAGCACAGGTCTCCAGGGCACATCTTTTCTCCTGGGTTCCTATGTTTGTTTTTCTCACTGCTTCCTATTCCTCTGCTTAGGATATTTCCATGAAAAAGCCAGAAAATGCTCAGCACAGAAGCCTCCCTAATACCTGGAATAAATGAGCTTTACCTTTGAACACATGCAGGCAGTGAGGTAAGTTATTTTTAAAAAGCAATCAGTAGAATGATTTTTAAAGTAGTGTTACTATGTCATAAGATATTGCTATTGGAATATTGGCCTAACTTTTCCTACTTCCCAATAGGGAAATATGACTTGGCTATAGAGTCAAAACAAGAAATGGCATGTGAGCATTTGGTGAAGTCATGAAAGTATTTTTGCCCTATATCTATATAAAAAAATAAAGTGCATAAGAAATCATCTTTTCTTTTCAACCATCTGACAATATTAGCTTAAAGTTAAGGGCCTGGCCCTGATCATATGAAAGGCTTTTATTCAAGTGCTACAAGGCAATTGAGAAGAGGATTTGTTATTAACCTCATCATAGAAAGGCAGCAGGTGAACAAATTGAATGATTGTGTGGAAGAGCAAATGCTATATGAATATGTATATTTATGAATTGTATATGCATATTGAAAATGAAAATGTATGTTTAGGAGTTGTCTCCAATCTCCTAATAACTCCTAATATAGCGCTGACAACATTTGTGTAAGTTTTTCTGCAAAATAAGGTAATGTCAAAGAGTCATAATAATAGACTTTAATCTTTGCAATGTTATAATTTGGATCCTCCATTGTTTAGTGCATGTTACCAGAAGAAAGGATTATAAATCTTTTACATAAAAAGTATTATAAATCACCCCTCTTTTATAACCTGTATGCAAAACAACTTCTCTCACATATAGATGCTCTGAATAATCTTAAAAATAATGCGAAGCACAGTAAACTAGGATATTATATATTGAATTTTCATAAATATTTCCCTTTTTTCCTGTATGTGCTCTTTTTATAACTTAGAAATGTTTTATATAAAACATATTATTTTCTGTAATAATTTTAAAATGCTATGTGAACTATTTTATTATTTTTAATCTATCCTTTAAGTCTATCTAAATCTAAATGATTTTCTTAAGAAAATCATTTACAAATTTAAATCCCTAAGTTGGCAACCAGTA